GCAGAGGTGCAGCACCTCTCCTGCCCTCCTCCCCCCACACACTCTGTTCCTTTCCCCCCCAGCCCAGCATTCGGCAGTGAAGTGGGTCTCTGTGAACCTCATATGCAGATCAGATGCGGATACACATTTTGTAGCACCACAGAGCGCTAGAAACGGGGGCCAACATGGTGTCCTTCCATTGTAATTGGGGTGTGGGGATGGCAGAGGTGCAGCACCTCTCCTGCCCTCCTCCCCCCACACACTCTGTTCCTTTCCCCCCCAGCCCAGCATTCGGCAGTGAAGTGGGTCTCTGTGAACCTCATATGCAGATCAGATGCGGATACACATTTTGTAGCACCACAGAGCGCTAGAAACGGGGGCCAACATGGTGTCCTTCCATTGTAATTGGGGTGTGGGGATGGAACATGCTCTGTCGGTGTCGCACACACAGCAGAGCCAGGGCCCCAGGCAAAGCAGAGCACCTTTCTCTGCTGTTTGATGAATGGTGCTCCATGGGCTCCCTCCTCAGAGGCAAGCTCCAGGAATCACTCACCCATGGCCCCAGGAGCCTGTCCCTCTCAGGGCTTTGGATCCTGCTCTGAGAGCTCCAGGCTGCTGGGTGAGAAGGACCCTGCTCCGCTGTAGGGTATTTGGAGCTGTGTAGGGCACATGAGCTCTCCTGTCATAACCTGGACACCTGTGGGAGCATCCCAACGCAGGGCTTGGCTGGCTGATGCCAGTGGGCTCATTAGTACAGTCTGAGCTCCAGGGCATAGCTAGCTGGGGCTCCCCTGGGACTGTGGGCTGCAGCTCAGGGGTCATCCTCTCCATGGACATGAAAGTTCTCTATGCTGACCCTGCAGGTAACGGCCAGGCGGAGGCTCAGGCCGTGGTTGGACGTGTCGGAGAAAGCGCAATCCTCGGCTGTGACCTTCTGAACGCAGAGGAGGCACGCCCCCCTCTCTATGTGATCGAGTGGGTCCGCTTTGGCTTCCTCCTCCCCATCTTCATCAAGTTTGGGCTCTATTCCCCACGCGTGGATCCGGAGTACGTCGGTAAGTCCATGCTGGGACAGCAACAAAGAGGTGCCCTGGTTGGGAGAGGCTGGGGCGGTGAGATGTAGCAGAGCGGGCACTGGTGTGTATCTGGATAGGAGAAGTTTGGGCGAGCTGGGACGTAGTGGAGGGGATGTTGGTGTGTGTCTGGGGAGAAGTCCGGAGGGGCTGGGATGGAGCAGAGGGAACACTGGTGTATTTTGAGGTAGAATTCTGGCAGGGTGGAATGTAGGAGAGGCCAGGCTGGCATGTCTTGGGGCTGGAGGGACCCTAGCTGGGACATAGTGAGTGGGGAGCAGCAGGACAGTGGCCGGTTTTGTGGCATGTGGTCCAGTGGCTGAGGGGCAGTCTGGGGGGCTGGCCCTACACAGCTGCATGGTGTTTGCCTTTCCTGAGGTGAGCCCATCCCACCTTGGGGCCCAGAGGAGTTTGCTGGCATGAGCCCCGGGCCAATTCCCTCCCGTGACTGTCCTGTCTAGTGGCTGGCTCTGGCTCTTCCTGTGTGTGCAACACATCAGTGCTCTTCCTGTCTCTTACTGCCCTGCCCATTCCCCCCCGCTCCAGCCAGGCCCCAGCCGAGGACTGCTGCTGTCAAGCCACATTAGTCATGCCCCATGGGCTGTGTGCTGCAGCATGCCCAGGCCTGGCTGGGGAAAGGGGTGGCCATGGGGAAGGCAGGGAGGTGAAGGGGTCTGTCCCTACAGCTTGGACAGAAGCTCTTGGCTAGAAGGGGTGGGAGAGTGGGGTGGAGGGAGCTGGCAGCTCCCCAGGAAGGCCGCGAGGGCCTGCATGGAACCAGGCAGGGTTCCCTCCCCTGCTCTCTTATGCCTAAGCCTCCGTGCTGATGTGGGAGGGAGGAGAATCTGTTCTCAGCAGCATGCAGCCCAGCAGCCGCTGAGTGGGGGGGGGGGGGGGATGAAGCTGTGTGCACATGAATGGGCACCCGCTGAGACAGGAAACTCCCTTAGTATGAGGGTCCCCATATTGATTTGCTGGTGGCCGCCGCTTGCAGGGGGACTCCTCTCCCCCCCCTGCCTGGGAACAGGCCTGTCTGGGGCTTGGTGAGACAGATGCACTGGTCAGCTCTGAGCATGACATCACGGGTGTCTGCACTGGAGTGGGAGTGGTTCAGTGGCTCCCTCATTGGTCTTTGTCTCTGCCTCGCATAGTCTCTGCAGGTGCGTGTCTCACTGCCCAGGGTGCATGTGCACTGCTCCATGCAGGCCTGAGGCCTGGCCCAGCCCATGAGCCGGTCCCTTGGCAAAGGGAAACCTGGAGGGGGCGTCTCGCCCTGCACTTCCCCAAACAGAGCTGCCAAGGGCCCATGGACTCGTAGCTCCGATCTGGGCCGGTTAAGGGGAGCTGGACTCCGTGAAGCACAGAGTCTTGTGTGGGCATCATGGGGCTGTGGCTGCCAGGAGCAGGGCAGGCAGCAGATGAAGGTCCGGGCCTGAACAAGCCGCTGGCCCCTTTGTGCTGTGCGGTGGAGCTGGGCGCCTCAGCCTGGGCCGCACAAAGGCTCTTTCTTGCCAGGGGCAGAGGTCAGATTGATGCTGCTCCTGGGGTCTTTGTTCCATTCTAATCCCGTAATCCCAACTGGAGCCTGCTGCTGCTGGGGGAAATTTATCCCGGGAGCCAACCACCACCTGGGCTGCCTGGCAGTTCCTGGGCTCAGGGACCAGCTGGGATCCTGGGGGAAGAGCCACACGGAGCCCTTGGCACAGCCTTGAACATCACCCCTAGCCCCTGTATCATGGCCCCTGGGTTACCTCCCACTCACCCACCCCATCTTCACTTCTCTCCATAGCTCAGGGGCCCTCGTTACAACTCGGAGCTGCCCCATGCACCATGCCCTATGTCACACAGCCCCCCTCTCTACACTGCTCCTTATCACAACTCCTGTGTTACCACCCCCACCCTCTGCCCTTCTCTTCATAGTCCCCTGGCTCTTGTTACAACCTTCCCCCCCCCCACCCCGCTGCCCCATTCACTGTCCCCAGGTCACGGCCCTCTGCCACATCCATGCTGCCTCGTGTCATGATGCTGCCCATCAGCTGCATCTACCCAGTAGGTCCCATATTTCTTGCTCCCACCCCACTCTTCTTGCCCTGAGTACCAGACCGTTCCCCCTACAGGAGAGGACTGTGTCCTACAACCGGGGTGAAAGTAAACAGGTGCGCCCTGGTGCGCAGCTCCGGCAAGAGCTGGCTGAGCGGTGGCAAAAGGCAGCGGGGGTTATTTAAAGAACTACCAGGGACCTGGGTTGCAGTAGGACAGCGCCTGTAAGAAATGTTAAGTTACTTTCACTGATGCCTAGAACGCTGTGGAACTGGGCATTTTCCTGCCTGTTTAGGTCCCAGCTAATCGCAGCTCAGAGAGTCACTCAGTATTTGGGGGCAAACAGAACTACAGTCTCCTCAGAGACACGGCTGAAACCCCTCACACACACACTGGGGCTGGGCCCGCCCTTCTCTCCGCTTTTGTGCCTGGACCCCTGGAGGGCTCTCGCGCTGCCTGCTCAGCCCTGCCCTGGTGGGTCACTTGAAGGTTGAGCCTGGGGAGGGGATTTGGGCAAAGCTGCTAATTGGCAGTGCTGGGCGGAGCGGGATTTGGAGAGAAGCTGCTGGGGAGGGGACAGTGGCGTGGGAGGGGGATGTTCTCCTACTCAGAGGGTATTTAAAGTGGAGCAGTGGCAGATTTTCGGGGCTCTTTGCAAGCGCGGAGGCGTGAGCGACAGGATCGTCTCTTAATGAAAGGGAAAGGATCCTGTTGCAGGGAATGCGGAAAGCTTTGGCTTGGGGCAGAGCAGGAGGGCTGCAGTGAAGATTTGTTACAGCAAACCTCCGGGCTGCTCCGAAGGTCAGGAACAACAGCAGACTCCAACAGCCCAGGGAGCAGGATGGGACAGAGCTGGTGCCCTCAGACTTTTCCCAGATTAGGCTGCACTGGCAAGCGACAGCAGGACTATCTCTCCAGCCTGAGCAGGGCTGGCTGCAAAAAAATTGCTGGGCTTCACCTTTTCAGAAGAAAAAAAAATCCCTCCTGGGCCCAAGCTAGCGACTTGGACATCAAAATGCAGACCAAGAAAAGCCAGGGGTCTTCAGATGCCCTGTTTGCAGCTTTCAACATGTGCCAAGTTGGGGAGGAGTTAGGTAAAAAAGAATCATTATATTTCAGCCAGTTGTAATCGGGGGGGAGTCACTATAGTGGAGGCAGGGAGCAGTTGATACGAACTTTTGATCTCAAAAGCTTGGCCCAACTCTGCTGCTGCGCTGGCAAATACGGAGTGTTCTCCCCAGGCTCCTGGGTGAGTCCCACTCCCCCCCCTGCAAGAAACTCTGCCTTCAGAATGGAGCTCAGTCCACCTGTCTGCCTCCTAATGCCTACCCCATCCCCATGGCCAGGATGAAGTAAGGATGTAAATTCCTATTTAATCCTCTTAAATGGGTCCCGTGGGCAATAGACCCAGCGGGGTTGGAGCATCGCCCCGCTTGTATCAGACAGGGGGCTATGTCAGCCCGGCTGGGCCACCATTTAACTGCTGACGTCCCTAGGATGAAGCACTGGCCAGTCTGGAATCCAGACTGGAATCTCCTGTGGCTGTGCCGATGCTGCAGGGCTAACGAAGGACCTGGTGGGACAGTGGTGCCTCCCATCATGTAACTCGTGGTTCCTCCAGCCTCGGCCACCACCACAGCCTCCCACCATGTGGCTTGCGGCTCCTCCCTCCCTGGCTGCTGCCGCTTTCTGCCATACCTAATGCGGCTGTACAGCTCTACGTAGGAGGTGCACAGAGTGGAAATTTTTCTGCGCAAGCACGCAGCTTAGAGGGATCCTTGGTTCTGTCTGCTCTGTGCAGGCAATTCAAGATCGCAGGCAATTCCCCTGTCTGCGGTGTTGGCTGCTGTCTCCACTAATCCACACCGCCTCTCCAGGTGGCTGCACTTCAGTAATTCTGTGTGCATTAGCCATGATGCAGGTGTAGTGCCATGCATGGAAGCATGCTCCAGTGCTAGAGAGCATGGTGGGCAGGGGGAGGAGTATTACTGGGTGGGCTGGGCTATTGACAGCTTCTCTTTGCTCACAACAGCAACAGCCATAAGGGCACATTTTCTCCCTGCCCCGGCCAGCATGGCTGAATGCAATTCCCAGCAGCCCTGCACATTCCAAGATCCACCCTTGGGGGCAACTGCAGTGCAGCTGGGGAAAAGTGCTAGCTTGACACAATGGGGCAAAAAGAGGGCAGCGAGGGGTTTACGGAGACCCCTGCCTGCTTCTTACTCCTTCCCCTCCCGCAGCAACCTCCCCACATGCCCACACTGATGGAGGAAAGAGAAGAGCCTGGTTTGACTCATGGAGAGAGCCTGGGGCTGGCCCGTGGAAAAGCTGGTTGTCTGGATGGATAGACCCTCCAGAGGGACCCAATCAAGGGCAGAGGGGATGCAGTGATGAGGGTCACTGGTCACAAGTTGGAGTCACACTCAGTGTGAGGGGGGGTGGAGCTGCCAGGGACAGTTTGCCCAGGACAGAGCTGTGCTGCAGGGAGAGAGCTGGGAGGGCGCTTGGCCCAGGGAGATGCAGTGGTAGGGAGAGGGGGCTGGGCCCAGGGCAGAGCTGTGCTAGGGGATGGGGGCTGCTCAGTGACTCGCTTGTTCCCATGGCAACTGGCTGCTTATTTTCAATCTTCTTTGGCAGCTGGGGGTGGTGAGGCAGGAGTCGGGGTGGGGGCGTGGCCTGTCAGCGGGAGGTACCCACAGTTTGACCAGGGACATCAGGCCAGGATTTCGGTCCTGTTGCCGCGGCTCCCACATGGCGCTTTCCAAACAGTTGCAGCCGTTGGTGGGAGAGGCTGGATGGGGGCCAGGAAGACCCTCACAGATGCTCCCTTCATGTGGCACGGCCCACCCCTGACAGCCCCCTGGCCTGACACACCCTTGCGTCCACAACCCTCTCCCCAATACCTCCCGCATGCCGCATCCCCTCACTCCTGACACCTCCTC